GGGGGAGGAAAGTGACTGTCCCTGGAGAACGGTCATACTGTAATCCCTTCTCCATTTCTCCCTCCTTTCAGAATTGTGGGCACACACACACACATGCACCCAGTGTGTCTCTTAAGCTGCTATGTCCAGAATCAAAGCACTAAGTCGGCCATGTGGGATCTAGGTGCCTTAACCACCATGCCACTGGCTGGCCCACTCTCCCATATTTTATTTGCTAAATCTGTCAACCCTCTCCAAGGGGCTCCTTGGCCCACTCCCAGAGAGTCCCCTCTCTGTAGACACGAGAGGCGCCTGGAACCTCACCTGAGCAATGAGCACCAGGCTGGCCCTGCTCTCACAAGCTCAGGCGCTGGTCACGTGAGCAGGCATTTGGCTGTAAGGAAGGGTGCTGGTACTGACTCCCTTCACACGTGGAAGCTGCCTGGCCCACTGTTCCAATGGTTCTGAGATTTCTTCCCTGTAGTTCTGAGACCCACATTCAGGAGAGGCTCGGACAGGAGTGGGACGCCCTCTTGCTTCCCTCGCTGGGAGCCCAAGCAGCTCCCCCACACTGTTTGGAGGTTCCTTTCCCCTTACCCTCACAGCTACCTCTGAAGACAAAACCAGGGCTCCTTCTAGCAGTTTAAGAGTTTTTACTTCCATGGGGGTTTCCATGTTTTGGTTGAGAAAAATATCCATGCAAAAGTGAAAAGGGTTCTTCCAGAAAGTTCTGACAGTCCTGGTCTCTGCTCTGCAATTCTTGTCTCTGTCCTCTGTGCTCACTCTTGAAGGGGGAACCTGACCCCACACATTCCTTCTGATAGCCACAAACCAACAATTGGCTAGAATCCTGGGGTGTGGGGGCCTCGAGGGGATCATTGGGGTTTCAGAGGTCACCAGGCAGAGCAATCCCAGCAGCAGCCTTGGACTGGGCTTCCCCAAACTGCCTCCTTTGTTTCTTGTTAAAATAGATGAAAACTGGTGTGCCAGCCAGGTCTCTATCCACCTTCCTCCCAGGGGGGCCCAGGGACTTGTGTGAGATTGGCCCATGGGGACTCTTGGCTCACAAAGTTAGTCTCGCCCTACACAGGTCCCAGCACCAGCAGCCCAGACCCTTTGGTAACAGCGAACAGTGGAGAAGAGCCTGCTGTGACAGCAGGACCCAGGACAAGCTCAGAGGGAGACTCCTGGAGCACTGATGTCACTGAGACCTCAGCACCAGGCTTCATCACTTTGGAAACTCAAACTCTGAGCACCAAGACCTTTTCTGAGCCCCGACTCTCAGTCAGCCTCATTTCAGAAGCGGAGACGAGGGAAGCGACAACCATTTCCACGGCCACAAAGATCAGGCCCCTCACTGAAACCATGCCTTCCATGTTTGTGGATGTGATCACCACCTCTGAGGAGACACCGGCCACGAGAAGCAGCTCCACGGGAACCAGAATGACCGCAGTTGAGACTGACCCAGGCTGCGACCCTGCGGAAGCCATCTTTGACAGCCTGTGTACTGATGACAGCTCTGAAGAGGCAAGGAGGGTCACCACTGACGTCTTGACATTGACTCACACCACCGCAGAGGCTGAGGGCCTATCCCCTGGCAGCAGTGCCTCTCCTGCCAGCTCGGTTCCCGCCATCACCACCTCTCAAGTCCTGGCACCTGACCTTACTACCCCAGCCAACACCTTCACCTACATCGAGGTCACCTACCACAGCAAGACGGAAATAGAGACAGCTGCCACCATCCCAGGGTCCTCAGACACAGGGCACACCCCCACAGGAGGAGTGAAGGGGTCCACCTCTGAGACAGCAGCTTTGCCCCAGTCCACTGAAGCCGTATCGCACGACCCTGAGACCATGAACTTTGCTGAGGCCTTGTCAATGGCCAGCACCGCAGAATCAGCTACACCTGACCCCAGAGTTGACAGTCCACCGCCCACTACTGGCACTGCAGAGAGAGAAACAATAGCAGCCACAGCCACTACCCCCAGTGGAGTTTCGGTGATAGTTCACACGAACTCCTCGGAAGAAACCGCAGTCCCCTCTGTTGAGACACTAAGCTACCTCAAGGTCTCAGGAGTGGTTATGGTCTCCACAGAGGCTGGGTCCACAGTGGGCAGAGCAGCTTCCTCTGCTGGGCCCCCAGGCTACAGCTCTGCGGAGGGAGCCACCAGGAACCCCAGCCCTTCAGAGACTTCCACCCCAGACAATATAACCACTGCACCCCTCAGCATTGGCAGGAGCCCCCTGCCTTCTGTCCACCCCTCTACACCCAACAGCAGCCGAGACACCAACACCACCTTGGCCAAGACCATAGCCTCGTCACAGGCCTCGATGAAGCCCCCGACAGCCACACCCACCTCTTCCTGGACAAGGCAGACCACGAAGGTTACTGCAAGTAAGCCCATATGTGGTCTGGGGGGACTAGGATACACGTACAGAGCAGCGAGGGAGGATGGGCTTAGCGGCCTGTTCTGGGCCCTCTCTGGGCATTTCTTCGATTTTATGCTCTTATTTTGTTTTATTCCCTTATATTGTGGTGAGAACACTTCATGTGCAGACCTTCATAGGACAGACCTCTGAGTGTCCTATGCGGTACTGTCATCTCGAGGCTCGGCATTGTCAGCAGATCTCTAGAGCTTACCTTGCATATCTGAGATGTAGCCCCATTGACTCACAACTCCCCGTTTCCCTCTCTCCCCAAAACGCTAATCTTTTCTTATGACTGCTCAGCATTCCATTCATTGAACTGCCCTTCCTTTAACCGGCTCTCTATGCACGGACATGTAGGATGTGCTCGCAGTTTGTTATGACAAGCAGTGCTGCAGTGCAGGCTCTCGTGTGTTATTTCCGGAGGACAAGCCTCCAGAGCACAATCGCTCGGTTCGAACGTCACGGTGACAGGGAGAAATGACTGCGAAGTGGTAGGTGGAGGCGAGCAGGCTGGGGCTCCCCGAGAGACAGAACTACCTTGCAGAGCCTCGAAGCCGGAAGGAGGCTGGATAAGATCCGCTCAGCCCCCCACCAGCCTCGTGCAGGAACACTGGCTGAGGACATTCCCTCGAAGAGCTGGCCTCCCTCTGCCACCTTCTCTGGTCAGGCCCTTCCCCAGCAGCCCCATCCAGGATCTCCAGCCCTTGAGAACATTCTAGATCCATTTCTCTCTCTCTCTTTCCTCATGCTGCCCTTTTGACTCGTGCAAATGTGGGTGGTGCTTTAAGTGATCACTTCTTTCACTCTTTTCGGGAGGACCCTACAGTGGCATAATTTTCCCAGAGAGGAATCCTCTTTTCTCCTTGTAGTGAGTGGATGTAAGATCCTACGTGAGCATAGACGCGTTACATATGAGCACCCACACACGTATGTGGAGGAGGGCAGGGGCCGGGGAGTGGGAAGCACAGCTTGATTACTAGACTGACTTTCATCTTCCCACCGTCTCAACTTGCAGGTGGAGAGGAAGGCTTCCTTCTCTTACGGCTAAGTGTGGCCTCCCCAGAAGACCTCACTGATCCCAGAGTGGCAGAGAGGCTGATGCACCAGGTGAGTGAGTGCTTTCTGGGCCAGGAGAGAGCAGAAAGTGAGAAGTTCTCAGGGCTGCAGGGTGATCTGCAGGGCACAGCAGGGCGCAGCAGAGCTACGCTGCACCTGGCAGGGCCTACTCTCAGGGAGTGTTGGAAGCTGCAGCTAAGGCTCCCTGCCTGGCTTTGCTTCCGCTGGCTTCTCTGAGTTCTGCATTCCCCATCTCTGCAATATACACAACTTCTTCCCCTGGCCCCCGTTCCTCCAGGTCCTGGGTAGCTTAGGCCTTCTGACCCTCCAAGGAGATCAGTGATATTGACAGGTGGGCAAGCAGGACTCTCGGATGCAAGTGGCAGAAATCCGAGTCATAGTGGTTTACACAGAAAGGCAAGGTCTGAGGAACCTAGAAGTGGTCTATCCAGCTTCTGTTATGGCTGGATTCAGCAGCTCAGATATGATCCTGTGGATTTTCCCTTTGCTAGGCTCCCTTCATCTTTGAGAGTCTTTTTCCATATATACAGAAAGGTGCCCATGACAGCTTTTGATTCATAAGACACTTCCCTCTTTCAAAATCTGCATAGCGTCGAGGGAAAGACTCAAATTTCCTGAAACTGTGAATATGACTGAAAGCCCAATCAGGACCACAAAGAATGGGAAGGAAAGGTCCAGAAGAAATAAGGATGCTGGGTAGAAAAAAAATAACAGAGATGTATGCTCTACAAGAGAAAAAGAATTAGGATACATTTGTATAATGAGCTGGAAAAGTTCTAAAATGCAGACCATTTGACAGAGCTTCCATTGGTGACATTCTGGGACAGAGCTTTTGGGGATGGTGGGAATTACTGGCAGGTTAGACAGCTGAGTACTGATTTCACCTGCCCAAGACTCTTGGCTTCTGGCTCTATAGAGTAAAAGGAGGAACATGGTAGAGAGGGGAGTGCCTGAGCTCCGCCCACAGGTGGACTGAGAGCACCTTCCAGTGTGAAGTGCTCCTTGGGCAGAGCCCCTGCCAATACCTCAAGATTGGCACAAGCAGTGGACCCACACAGACATCAGCAGCTCAGGCTTGGTGTCCCCCCCGCCCCCGCCTCCCTCAGGGTAAACTTGGCAGAGGTGCTGGCTGGGAGTTTTGTGCCGTGGGCAGGCTGGACGGGTGAGGCAGTTACTCATGGCAGAGGGAAGTGGGATACATCCATGCAAGGAGGATTCTCTGTTGCAGACAAAATAAATTTTCTTTTATTTTTTTTCCTTTTTTTGGATAGGTCTTTGCAGTAGGGTACATCTGCTCGCCAGAAAGTGAGAAATCACCCCATCAGGGGGGATGGCCATGCCACAATCCCTTCTCCTCCATTCTCCTCTCGGGATCCTGAGCATGCCTGCCCACGCGCCCAGCATGAGTTTAAGCCACTGGGTCTGGGACTCAAACTGTGGTCGACTACATGGGAGTCCAGCGACATAGCCACTGCGCTAACTGCTGGTCCCAAGAAACTGTCTTTCATAAGAGAAGATTTGTTACAGGGTCCCAGGGTGCATAGAATCAAAGGAATACCAGAGAAGTGTGCTTGAAAAGTGGATGGGAGGAACCCAGGGGAAATCTGGGCTGGGCAGTGGGGACAATCTGGTTGGGACCTTGTAACTTTTTTTTAAAAAAAACGTTTTACTATAGGATGCTTGTGCTTACAGGAGACGGGGGAGGGGGAGTTAGATAGCACCCCCTCAGGGGGTTGCCACACCAGAATCTTTTTCCCTCCGTTCTCCTCTCAGAATTTTGGGCACATACACACAGGCACCCAGCGGGTGTGTTTTTCAAGCTGCTGGTCTGGGACTCAAACCATGCAGTCAGCCATGTTAGGATCCAGCTGCCTTAACCTCCACACTATCTGCTTACCCTGTTCTTTTTATTTTTTCTATTTAATTGCTAGAGGGCATGTGTGAGGGAGGGAGAGGGACAAAGCTCCCCCAGTGGAATGTAGTCACTCAGCAGTCCCTTCTCCTCCATTCTCCATCCCATTGGCACTTGGGGTACACTTGCATGTGGGACTGGCATATTTTTCAAGCTATTGGGGCTGAGATTCTGACCCTGCAGTTTGCCATGTGGGATCTGACTCCCTGAATCACCAGGTCATGGGGCGGCCTGACTTTGTCACTCTTGCTGGCCCCAGGGACTACTGGACACTGCCACAATGGACAGACACCACACTGCTGCACACCTGCTGCAAGTGGGTTCTCACAGTCTCTGGGTCTGGATCGCCATTCCAGAGACCAGGCCCTGAGTGGGGACACCCAACAGCCTAAGCTCAGCTCTCGTGTCCACGTCTTACTGCCAGGGAGGGAGGAGGGAATAGCTGTGTCCTTGAAGTTCTCCGAGAGGCAGGAAGGCCCATCATGACCCCCACAATGAAAAATTCCCTAAACCTGTGGGCCAGCCAAGGAGGTGGCTAGTGCCTCCCGCACGCAGAGATCAGAGTCGTAGGTGTGGGTTGTTGAAGGAGGGAGCCAGGGTTGAGTATCACATCTGAGTCCCTAAACCGGAAACCATGTCAGGGGTTGGAAAGATGCCAAGGAGATGAGGAGGGTCAGCTAGCCCGGGCACACAAGCCAGGATGTTGGGTGGGTGGGTGTTGGCTTCTCACTGGGGCCAGCCAGTGGCCTGGGGCTCAGAGGTCAGGCAATGAACTAGAGCCAGACAGATCTGGGTGTGAATCCCAGTGCCTAACTGCGTGACCTTGGGAAGTTTCTCTGAATGACTTTCATCCCTTGTAAACAGGGATAACGCCTGCTCTGTGACCTGGTGTACGTGAAGCCCACGCTCACGCTTGGGAAATGTTGCTGTCCTCTTATGTTCTCTCCACTGTCCCTCCATGTCCTTGGCCTATGGGGAGCTCAGGGGCCGACGAGCTGGAAGTAAAGCCTATTCCCTTTGCCTTCCAGCTCCGCCACCAACTGCATGCCCACGTGCCTCTTAGCCACGTCTCCTTGCTGCGTGTCAAGAGAGGGTGAAGAATATCAGCTGCCACCGGGCGTGGTCCATGTGCCAAAGGAGGGACAGTGCCACCTATGACCTGTGTCCCCACCACCAACTGGAGCCTCATTGCTGTGCTGGATGTACCCGAAAGTTTTCCAGGAGGGTCAGTGGGCCGTGCCCTCCCCCCAGACATGGCAGCAGGACCCTGGCTCACAGGCCTGAGTGTGTGGGTTGTGGGCTTCCCTGTGTCCGGAGGTGTCTGTGAACCTCCCCAGGCACGAGGCTGTGTTTCAGTAAAGAGACCCAATGATCCATCTGCGAGCTTCTAGACTGCACTGAAGTCATACTTAGTGCGGTCCAAGGGCTGGTTGGCCTGTGTGCTGTGTATGTTTTTAAAATACAGGGGGTTAGGGACTAGCAGATGGTATAGCGGTTACGTCGCTGGACTCTCACATGGTTGACCACGGTTTGAGTCCCAGACTTGGTGGCTTCAAACTCATGTTGGGTGCATGTCTGTATGCCCAAGTTCCCAAGAGGAGAATGGAAGAAAAGGAATTGCAGCATGACCACCAGCCCCTGTCCCCAGGGGTGATCTCTCAGTTTCCCTCTCACTGTCTTGGTCTCTGTCTCCCTTCAGGGAGCGCACACACACCCTAAGGCGAAAACCTCTTTAAGAAGAAAAGGACATCCTGGTTGCTGCCTCCCTCCTCACACGCCCCCAGTTCTTGGTTTGGACCTTGGTTTCAGCACTTCTGGAGGTGGCCAAGCCTGCTGAGCAGTTGCTCCTTCGGCCCGGGCTGTGTTTGTTCATCTTAGGAACCCTGAGCCAACCGGAGCACGTGTGGGCGGGTCACAGAGAATGGTAAACTGACTTCGGTTTCAAGTACTGGTGCAGGCCGATTTATAAGAAAGTCTACAATAATCGATTTCTCCTCCATAGCTCATAATTCCACGTTATCATTTTTTTTCCAATTGAACATGATTACTGTTTTTTTTCTATTATAAAATTTAAACTTCTTTTTTAAAATTTGGAATAAGCAAAAAAGAATAGAAAAAAATGAGAAGAAGAGGCGAAGGTGAAGGAAAACATTCTAAAATTTCACCTCTTACAACTATTGTTAACGTATTGGATAGTCAGAAAAATCATGACACATTTTTGCATAGAAAAAATATGTCATGACTTTTCAGGTAATCTAATATATATGAAATTGCTTACCTTAACCCAGAGATCAAAGAGATACCTCACATTCAACATTTCCAAAATTGAAGTCCTGACCTTTTCTCTTTCTCTTTTTTTTCTTCTTTTTTTAATTTGTAATTTAAATTTATTTATTTACATTCATTCACTGTACATCATTACACATACAAAATGAGATTTTCCATCCAGAGTATACTGTATATTGGCTCAGTCAAGCACATCAACATATGTGTTATTGACAATAAATAATTTTCCATTTCTTGTTTCCTGTATATTTTGCTTTTTTTCCCCATCCTTGATTCCCTATCTGCCACCCTCTGCCATCTCCCACCCTCCTCCCACACTGTCTCTGGTATCCCATGGTTGCTTTCTATGTCTTCCCACCCCCACATTTTATTGAGTCACTAAAGATCTTAATTAATCTAAATATTTTCAATAGCAAGTGCAGCTGATATATACATATTCATGAACACAAGTCTGACTTTAGGCATAAGCCTCAGTGAGTAGAGTGAACATATTATGAAGTAGCACCTAGCTGGGGCTATATAGCTTACTGCAGTCATCAAATAGGTACTTTTAATGCATTTTTTTAATTAAAAAAAAACAAGGTTTTTTTTTCCTGAAACTTTTTAAAGTTAATTAATTTATATTCATTCCCTAAGCTTCTTCACAGCATACAATATGTGATTTCTCATCCAGAATATATAGCATAGTGGCTTAATCATGCATGTTATCATCAATAATTTTCCATATATATATATATATTTTTTAACCCCTATTTCTGACCCTCTGCCCTTTCCCACCCTCTTCTCACACTATCTCTGGTGTCTACAGTTGTCTTCCATTCCTTTTCACCCACATTTTAATGATCACATAATTTCTTAAATAATCTAACTACTTTCAATAGCAAGTTCAGCTGGTAATTTCATGAAAAGCAGTTTTAACTTAAATAACTCAAAGAAATGCTAAGGAACTTTGCTTAAAACTTAAAACCAGGAAACAAGTTAGGATTCTGTTCAAATAGTAGGTGCATGAACCTATCAACAGCTCAAGACAGGACAAAAATCCTTAAAACTAGACAACAAAGCCTAGGAGAATATTAGCAGTGTCTTACTCAAAAGTCATAAAATGTTGTTTCATCAATTCAGTCTCATGTACTTAATCCATCTTCTGTTGTGGTTCGACCTTCCTGATTAAATTCTCGGTTATAATATTCAACTCCAGACTTGTTCCTATGATTAAGTTGGCTATTTTCTTAGTTTTTGAACTCTTATTTCTGTGTGTCTATATTTAATTTTCCTGATATACCATTCCTTTGAGAACTCCTTGGAGATCTGTTCTGGTGCTGATAAATTCTTTCAGGTTTTGGTTATCAGAATGTTCTTGTCTTTTCTTTTCATATGAAGGATAACCTTGCTGGGTACAGTATTCTTGGTTGAAATTGCTTTTCCCCTAACACTTTGAATATATTTTCCCATTCTTTTTTTTTTTTTTTTGAGAGGTTTTTGCTATAGGGCATGTGCGCTCGCATTTTTTAGTTTGACCAGAGAAAGACAGAGGGTGATAGTGAGAGAGAGAGGAAGTCTGCTGTTAGCCTGATAGGATATCCTTTGTAGGTAACTTGCCGTTTCTCTCTTGCCAATCTTAGTATCTTGTCTTTGTCTGTGGTTTTTGTCAATCTGGCTATAATGTGTCTTGGGTTGATTCTATTTGGGGGTCCTTCGTATTTCTTGGGACTGGATTTTTGAATGCCTCTCTAGGTTTGGAATGTTTTCTTGCAGGATTTCATGGAATAGATTATCAATGCCCTTATGAGTCTCATCACCTTCTGGGATACCAGTTATCCAGATGTTTGGACATTTGATGGTATCTAGTATTTCTTATATATTATTATTATTTTTGGGGGGGCAATTTTCTCAGTCTTTCTGGTGCATTTTTCTAGGGCGGCAATTTTCTATGTCTGATATTCTATTTTCTGTATGACCTAGTCTGCTTTTAATATTTTTAAGGCAGATTTTGACTTCCTGTATTACAGCTTTCATTTCTAACAGGTCCCTTTAATTCTTTTTAAAAGTGTGTAATTCCTCTTTTAGATCTTGCAAGAATTTCCTTATCTCCTGAAACTTGTCAGCTCCTTTCTCCTTTCTCCTCTGCAGTTCATTGTTTCTCTTCTATTTGTTAGTTTTGCCATTATGAATGTTCTAAATTCTTTGTTAGTTTTGCCATTACGAATGTTCTAAATTCTTTATCAGATATTTCCATGCTTTCCATTGAACTGTCTGTGGATGAAAAGGAGTTATTCTTTTCTGTTTCTTCTTTTCTCTCTCTCTCTTTCTTCTTTCTTTTCTTTCTTCTTTCTTTCTCTCTTTCTCTTTCTTCTATTTCTCTTTTTATTTGCCAGAGGACATATATACTCACCAGACAGCAGAGACAAAAGAGAGGAAGAAAGCAGTCCCCAATGAGTTGTGGTCATGCCACAATCCCTTCACCATTTCTCCATCCTCGGGATTTAGGGCACACACACATATGCCCAGCATGTTTTTCAAGCCACTGTGGCTGGGACTCAAACTGTGTGTTCAACCATGTGGCTCTAACTCCTTTAACCACTAGGCCATGGGGCCAGCCTGCTGATCTTTTCCTGTAAACCCATTCCTCCTGCATCTTCCCCATCTCAGTTAATGTCATTGCTTTTGTCCGTTGCTTGAACCCAAGTCCTTGGACCCATCCTTGTTACTCTCTTTCTTTCACAATATACAACCAACCACATGTTCTGTTGGTTCTACTCCTGTCAAACTACACCCAGAACCTGATCATTTCTCATCCTCTCTGCCACCTCCCCAGGATGTCCAAGATGCCATCATCTCTCACTGGATCACTGCATGCTCACTGGGTTCCTGCACGTCTCTCTCTCTCTGTTTCTTTCTTTGCCCCTACTCCACTCCCAACCAGAGCCATATTTAAATTTTTTAGAGAGATTTTTGCCATAGAGTGCATGCACTTGCCAGAGAGAGACAGAGAGACAAAAAGCAAGAAATCACCCCCCCCCCAAGAGGGAATGACCACACTGCAATCCCTTCTCCATTCTCCTCTCAGGATTTTGAGCACACACACACACACACACACACACACATACACACACATGCCCAGCATAAATTTGAAACCACTGGGTCCAGAACTTGAACTGAAGTTGGCCATGTGGGAGTCCAGCAACATAACCATTACACCATCTGCTGGTCCCCAGATCCATCTTTTTATAACAAGCAGATCATGACACTTATTTGCTCCAAACTCTTCCATTTGTTTGGAGGAAAAGCATGGGCTGGTAGGCTGGTGGCCTGCAGCCTCCACCTGCCCCTTTCCCTTGCCTGCTCACTATACTGCAGCCACCTGGTTTCTTTGCTCTTCCTTGAGTGCATCAGGCCTGCTCCTGCCTTGAGACCTCTGCATTCGCTGCTCAGTCTGCTTAGAAGCTTCTCTAGACGGCCACGTGGATAGCCCCTCCACCTCCACTTCATGCTCCTTCTCAGAAAGGTCTACTCTGATCACCCTACTTAAAAATTCAACCTGAGGGGGCAAGCAAGGGGTTTGTGGTTAGGGTGCTGGAGTCCCACATGCCCGACCATGGTTTAGGTCCCAGATCTGGAGGCTTAAAAATCATGCCAGGAGGCTGGTAGGTGACGTGGTGGTTGAGGTTCTAGATTCCCACATGGCCAACTATGGTTTGAGTCCCAGACCTGGTGGCTTGTTTTCTCACTTTCTTTCTTTCTCTCTCTGGTCAAATTTAAGAAAATAGCAATAATAAATAAAAATAAAAATAATTCTTAAAAAAAAAAAATCATGCTGGGCTTGTGTACATGAGTGCCCAGAATCCTGAGAGGAGAATAGAGGAGAAAGGATTACGGTGTGATCATCTACCCAGGGCAGGAAGGATTTCTCACTTTCCCTCCTTCCTTCAAGTACACACACCCTATGGTAAAAAACTAAACTAAACTAAACTAAAATAAAAACAACAAGAGCAAAAAACAACCTGTTCTCTGCTTTGATTTTCTTCCGTTTTCCCTTTCTCTTTCTTTCTTATTGCCAGAGGCACCTGTAATGATGAAAGACAGAGAGAGAATGCACCCCTCCACCCCTCCACCCCTCCACCCCTCCACCCCTGCACCCCTCCACGGGACATTGTCACACCACGATCCTTTTCCTTTATTTCTCTGTCCTGTCAGGATTTGAGGTACACGTGTGCACATGCTC